GCGAGGGGCGGCCCCCCCAGTGCCCAGCACAGGGGCACGCTCCCTGCCCTGCTCCTGCTGGCCACACCACTCCTGAGACAAGCCAGGATGCTGCTGGCCCTCTTGGCCACCTGGGCACCCTGCTGGCTCCTATCCAGCCCCCTCTCCACCAACCCCCCCAGGTCATTTTCCACCGGGCAGCTTTCCAACTGCTCTGCCCCACGCCTGGAGCATTGGGTGGGGTTGTGGTGACCCCAGGGCAGGACCCGGCCCTTGGCCTTGTTGACCCTCCTCCAGTTGGCCTGGGCCCATGGATCCAGCCTGGCCAGATCCCTCTGCAGAGCCCCCCTGCCCCCCTCAGCAGATCAAACATTTTTGTTTAATTCTAGAAGCTTTCCATCAATTACCAATGACCTAAGCCCAAGCTATGGACCACCCCCACATCCATTGGGTGGGTCTGCCGTGGGCCAGTGGGTGTTGGATGTGAAAGCTCTTCAGCCATCCTACTCGCAAGTTGGCACAAGCCTGTTCGGATTCAGCACTGAGCTTCTCCCCACTTGGCTTCCACCCCTCATGAGGCACTTTCCAGCAACGAGGCCTCTTGCGGGCAAGCTCAGGCCAACCTGAAACCCATTTCCTCCTGCAACAGAGAAGCTGGAAAGACCCGGAATGACCCAGAATGAGTTCCGAGGCAGCCGTGGACCAGGAAGTGCCGTTGGCACGTTGGTGTTGTGATAGCGAGGAGCCTACCTCTCATGCTGGGCAGCGATGCCGTTAAACATGGGAATTATTTCTTTCAGGGACAAATTAAGACCCAGCTGCGGCGCCTGAAATCGGAGCAAGAGGAGCTCCTATCTTCCGTGAAGGACAGAGAATGCAAAATCCAGGACTACACTGTAGGCACCCGTCAGTTGTCCTTGGCGGAGGGTGGGGGGTGGAGGGGAAAAGAAGGAACATCTCCTCTTCCTCTCACCCGTGGATGGATGATGCTCAAGAGGGGGTAGGGAAGGGAGAGTGGGTTTGTGTCTTCCCCCAATCCATCTTTTTGGTGGATCCCACTATGGCATGACCTCCTGTTGTCTCTTGATGCTTTTTGTTCCGCTCGCCACTTCCCTTCGCCCCCTTCTGCTTGCCCTTGGCAGAAGAGGACAGAAGCTGAAAAGCAGAAGCTTGTGACCATGTATAAGGAGCTGCACAAGTTCCTGGAGGACCAGGAGGCCTTGTTGCTGGCCCAGCAGGAGCAGGTGGACACAGAGATCATCAACGCGCACAAAGAAATCCTCACCGAGCTTTTGAAGGAGACCACGAGCCTGGCCACATTGATTGGGGAGATGGAGAGCATATGCCAGCAGCCAGGCTGTGAATTCCTGAAGGTGAGACCCCAGGCTTCCCCAAAATTGCTGTGAAGACGCTGGCTGAGCCCCAGCTTGGTCTCCAGCTCTCAGTTTCGTACCCCAACTTGCTAAAAGAGGGACTTGGTTACAGTGGGACCTCAGTACCCCAAGGGGAGGCATTCCAGGCCACTAAATCTCTTTTTCTCTCTCATCTAGGACATCAGAACCATGCTGAGCAGGTATGTCGTCCTTGCCCTGCCCAAATTTCACCCCAGTGGAGCAGCTTTGTGGCAGGATACTGGGAGAAGTCCCGTAGGGACTGGTTGGCCCTTCTGCAACGTAGCCTTTGGACTTGACTGAGGACGCCGGGGTTTGGAAGGGGGGCTCTTCCTCTCTTCTTAATGAATGATAAATTCAGGCGCCTGCTGGCACCCACAGCTCCGTCGCCTGCACGAGCTGAACGGGTGCAGGTTGCTGCACTCCCCAGGTGAATGGCTGGTGGGGCCACGCTGGTGAAGACGCTTAAGCTGTCGCCGAAGAAATGGCTCAGCATGACAAAAACGAGCATCACCGTGGAACAAGTCATCAGGGTGCAGCGAGGGCTGGAGGCTCCCAATGGAGCTGCACGCAACTGTATGGGGGGTGGGGACATCACCAGCCATCGCCCCCGTCCATGTACCCGAGCAAGGAGAGCCAAGTAGGGCTGGGAAGAGGATCTGGGGGCAGCCCAGAGCATCAGGCAGGTCCGTGGGCCGGAGGCAGGGCTGGGGGCGAGCCAAGAAGGTAGCCCATGGGGTGGATCAGCAGGATTGGTGGCCACGTAGAGATGCTCCTCCGAAGCAGCTTGCAAAAGGGCTGAATGCTGCAGGGCTGAGCTTAGAAGGACGGGACGGCATCCAAAGAGACCTGAACAAGCTGGGGAGGCGGAGTCATGGGAACATCACAAGGTTCAACAAGGCCAAGGGCAAGGTCCTGCCCCTGGGTGGGGGCAACCCCCGGGATCCATCCAGAGATGAAGGGATGGGGAGCAGCCCTGCCCAGAGAGACAGGGGGGAACTGGGGGATGAAAAGCTAGGCATGAGGTGTCCATGGGCACTGGCAGCCCAGAAGGCCCAACCCTCCCCTGGGCTGCATCCCCAGCAGCGTGGCCAGCACCCAGGGAGGGGATTGTGCCCCTCTGCTCTGCTCTGGTGAGACCTCCCCTGGAGCCCTGCGTCCAGCTTGGGAGCCCTCAGCACAAGGAGCCCATGGACCTGTTGGAGCGGGGCCAGAGGAGGGTGACCAAAATGCTGTGAGGGCTGGAGCCCCTCTGCTGCGGGGCCGGGCTGGGAGAGTTGGGGTTGTTCAGCCTGGAGAAGAGAAGGTTCAGGGCAGAGCTGAGTGCGGCCTTGCAGGGCTTCCCGGGGGCCCATAGGACAGACGGGGAGGCTGGGGCTGTGAGCAACCTGATGTGGTTGGAGATGGCCTTGCTCCCTGCAGGGGGGTTGGGCTGGGTGACCTCTAGGGATCCCTTCCAACCCAACCCATTCCATGATTCCATGATTCCATGATCCTATGATTAAGTAGAGCCCCCGGGCCATGGATGGGGGCGTGGGGTCCCCGGTGGGTCTGCTCAGGGATGTTAATTCCAATTCGGGCCCTCACGTAACCACCTCAGGCTTTGGCAGCTGAAGAGAATCAATGAACCCCCACAAGGGCGCTGCGTGCTTGTGGCGTGCCCTTTGCCGTCGGAGACGTGCGATGCGGTGCAGACCCATCATCTTCCCTCTGCTAAGTCTCCCCACCGACCACTGATGAAGCGTTGAGTCGCGAGCTACAACCAGGCATAAATACCTCCCCCCTTTTCCTTCCTTCCAGGTGCAAGAGGAGAAAGTTCCCACAGTGGTTCGATATCCCTTCTAAGTTGGAAGAGAAGTTCCATGACTATACAACAAAAGCCGCAGACATCCAGAAGGTGATGGAGTCATTTCAAGGTACCACGTGCAGGTCCAGCAAGGGAAACGTCGTCGCGCTTCTTAGGGGGGAGGGATGGAGCAAAGCCCTGCTTGTCGAACAGGGGATTGATTTTTTTCCCCAAGACCCAATGGTGAGGTGGCAAATGAGCAGCATTAGGCTGACATCACCCTCCCGCTGCCGCTGTTGTCGCCTGGCGCGTCGGGGCCCCCGTGTATTTCAGGTGAATGAGGTGGAGGCAGCGTCTCGCTGCTCTCCTGTGCTCCTCGCCGCAGCCACGCTCCAACATGGCGGCGTAGTCGTCGTCTTTGCGGCAGTCCCCTCCCCGCATGGGTGCATCTCGTATGAGTAGCCCTGTTTTTCTCCTCTCCCTGCCTCAGCAACCTCTCCCCAACATCCTTCTCTCTGTGTTGGGGAGCTGTGGATTTGATGGGCGGTCTGTTGGGTGGATAAGGAACTGGTTGGATGGTCGCATCCAGAGGGGAGTGGTCAACAGCTCGATGTCCAGATGGAGACCGGTGATGAGTGGTGTCCCTCAGGGGTTGGACTGGGTGACCTCTAGGGGTCCCTTCCAACCCAACCCATTCCATGATTCTATGACCTCTAGGGGTCCCTTCCAACCCAAACCATTCCATGATTCTATGATTCAAGTTTCTCTCTGTTCCCCCATGCTCGTTCCCTGACGCTCAGGATTTTTGGTGGAAATCCAGAATTGGACCAATTTTTCTTTCTGCCTCTCACATTTTTCTTTCTCTCTTCCCTGTAGGTTCAATGGCGTTCAAGCTTCCTTTAACACGTAAGTGAACTGAATAGATGCCCAACCCATCCAGCATCTCAAAAAAAAAAAAAATCCAGTAAACCAAAGTTCTGCTGCTCCCAAAGATCAACCCAAACCGCTCTGCTGCCTCCTTTCCTCCTTCTCCCATCCTGGTCCCACGAGGAGGCAACTCCTGGAGGGGTCCCAACTGGCTCAGAGGGATGGGAAGGGAGAGAAAAAGCCCTGTGCTCCCCCATAATGACCCTGACTCTATCTCCACCTCCAGCACAGCTGACACTAGACCCGAAGACGGCCAATGCTCAGCTAAAGCTCTCGGAAGACTGCACAGCCATGAGCTGGCGAAGGTTTGGGCAGGACCTGCCCTCCAACCCAGAGAGGTTCGAAGGCCACCCCTGCGTGTTGAGCTCAATGGGCTTCACATCGGGTTGGCACTCCTGGGAGGTGGAGATCTGTGGACTGGGCGTAAGCGCCATTGGGGTGGTCAAGGCTTCAGTGCAGAGGGAGCGTCGCTTTCCCCTGGAGCCTGAGGCGGGGGTATGGGCACTGTGTCACAACGGACAGGAGTACATCGCTATGACCTCTCCTGACGTCACCCCGTTGACCCTACCCAGTGTTCCCAAGCGGATACGAATCTGCTTGGACTGTCAAGAAGGGAACGTGCTGTTTCTTGATGCTGGGAGCAAAGCACAGATCTTTGCTTTTCCGCGGGCGGCTTTCAAGGGGGAGACCATCTACCCATGGTTCCTGGTGAGGGAGGGTGCTTGCCTCAAACTTTTTCCCCCGGGCATGTGAAAAAAAAAATAAAATAAACCCAAACCCGCCATCTACTCCCCCCTGGGGAACAAACCAGGGGCTGGGCTTTGTCCTGATTCCACCAAAAGCCTCTGTGGCTCCACAGGCTACAAGAAATGTGCGCTATGCAAAGCATCGTGTGGAGCAGGAGCTCTGCAAAGCTGCACGGCCCCGAGCTGTGATGACCCTCCTGAAACTCCTGCCCTGGACTGGAGGGTCTGGACAGCCTTAGACCCATCGCTCCATCCGCAGCCTGAGAAGGAGCCATTGGATAGAGGGGAATTAGTGGGACCAGAGAGACCCTGTGCCAGGGACAACCTAGAAAAGGAATTGAGGGAAGGGGGATTCCCAACCTCGATGATTATTGAGGGTAGTGGTCAATGGCTCGATGTCCGGATGGAGACTGGTGACCAGTGGTGTCCCTCAGGGGTCCATACTGGGACCGATGCTGTTTAATATCATCATCAATGACTTAGAGAGTGAGATCGAGTGCACCCTCAGCCAGTTTGCAGGTGACACCAAGCAGAGTGGTGCAGTTGACATGCCAGAAGGACAGGATGTCATCCAAAGAGACCTGGACAGGCTGGAGAGGTGGGGTCATGGGAACCTCATAAGGTCCAACAAGGCCAAGGGCAAGGTCCTGCCCCTGGGTGGGGGCAACCCCGGGATCCATCCAGAGATGAAGGGATGGGGAGCAGCCCTGCCCACAGGGACTGGGGGACGAAAAGCTGGGCATGAGGTGGCCATGGGTGCTGGCAGCCCAGAAGGCCCAACCCTCCCCTGGGCTGCATCCCCAGCAGCGTGGCCAGCACCCAGGGAGGGCATTCTGCCCCTCTGCTCCGCTCTGGGGAGACCTCCCCTGGAGCCCTGCGTCCAGCTCGGGAGCCCTCAGCACAAGGAGGACATGGACCTGTTGGAGTGGGGCCAAAGGAGGGCAACTAAAATGATGTGAGGGCTGGAACCCCTCTGCTCTGGGGCCGGGCTGGGAGAGTTGGGGTTGTTCAGCCTGGAGAAGCGAAGGTTCAGGGCAGAGCTGAGTGCGGCCTTGCAGGGCTTCCCGGGGGCCCATAGGACAGACGGGGACAATCTTTTTAGCAGGTCCAGCTGTGACAGGACAAGGGGGGATGGTTTTAAACCAAACCAGGGCAGGTTTAGACTGGAGCTGAGGAAGAAATTCTTGCCCCTGATGGTGGCGAAACCCTGGCAGGGGTTTCCCAGAGCGGGGGTGGAGGCCCCCTCCCTGGGAACATCCAAGGCCAGCGTTGGGTTTTTTTCTTGGGACTATTGAACCACCACAGGGGTTGGGACGAAGAGCCATCAAGTCCTTGGCTCATCCCCAAAAGGAGATGCCTAGGAAAGCATACAAAAGCAGGGCAAGGATGACTATGGACCCAGGAGCTTTGTTTAAGCTGCGCAAATGGCTAATTAACAAATTAAAGCGTTGTAATGAGAGGCACGGAGGGATTTGTTGTTTGGCTCTGTCCTCTCATTAACCCTCTTGGGCAGTTCCAGTGATTTGATCCTTCTCCTTTCCGGGCTGGATAATCCCAATCTCTCCCCATCCCTCCTGGGCTTCAGTTTGGTGGCCTGACATGGTATGCCTCGTACTGGGAAGCCCCAAACTGGTCCCTGTACCCAGAGATGGGCTCACACGTGCTCATGGGGGGGGGTGATCCCTCCGCCCCTCGCTCTAGTTAATGCAGCCCCGTAGGGGATTGATATCGTTAGCGCGTGGTCCTACCATGGACAATGCATGGACAACTCTGATGCATGGACAACTCGTCACCCCCAAGCCCCCAAAGTCCCGTTCCATGGTTGCTCCTGGTGCAAGAGGTTGTCCTGCCCCAAGATTCAGGAGATTTCTCCCCAGCCACTTCTCCAGCCCGTCCCGGTCCTGCCGAAGAGCAGCCCTGCCCCTCCAGCCTCCTATCTGCTAACTCACATCTGGCTTGGAACGTCGGCTGAACTGAAACCAGCCGGGAGGCTGGCAGGAGGCAAGGAGGAAGCATCAGGCATGCTTGCCCCTCTTCTTGCTCCTCTTTAAGCCTCCCGTGCCGCTGGTTCCTGGCTTTTGGGCTGAGGGTGTGGGGGGTCGATTTCCACCCCCTTTGCGACAAGAAAAGAAGACGAGGAGGAAGAACATCCTCCTCTTCCTCCTGCCAAGCAGAGCTCATTTAATACCATCCCAGAGGCAGGTTGGGAAGAGCCATGGCTACGCAGAGCCCGGCGGAAAGCCTGCATGGTGAAGCCTCCTGCTCCATCTGCCTGGGGTATTTCCAAGACCCTGTCTCCATCCACTGTGGCCACAACTTCTGCCGGGAGTGCATCACCCGCTGCTGGGACGGGCTGGAGGCGCATTTCTCCTGCCCGCAGTGCAGGCAGGCGGCTTCACGCAAGAGTTTCCGGCCCAGCAGGGAGCTGGCAAATATCGCTGAGATCGCCAGGCAGCTGAGCCTGCAGGCGGGGGGTGGAGGAGGAGGAGGAGGAAGAGGAGGGGGACCGAATTTGTGTGGGCAGCACCGGGAGGCTCTGAAGCTCTTCTGCAAGGAGGACCAGCAGCCCATCTGCGTGGTCTGCGACAGGTCCCAGGCTCACCGCTTCCACACCGTCGTCCCCGTCGAAGAAGCTGCCCAGGAATATAAGGTAAAGCCCTGGGGTGGGGTGGGGATGTGCTTGCACCTCCTGAAAACCAACAAAAAAATCCCTTTCCAGGGGTGAAGCGTGGCCCTTCAGGTGCATCTGCTCTCCCTATGCCTCTGTGGGCTCTTTGGGCGCTGCTTACCCGCGTGGTTCCTGTTTGCATTTTATTACACGGACGCTTGTTTGTTTTTTTTTTCCCCAATGTCCCTACCAGGTTCCCCCCCCCCCTTTAATTTTTTCATCTTTGCCAAAAGCCTGGGAGAAATTAAAAAAATACCTCGTTAGCCTTTTCCCTCTTTGAACTCCACTGTGGACTCAACTGTACCGAAGTACGGCCCGATAGTAAATATTCGATACCAGCGAGCGTAAATATTCAAACCATGGAAAAAGGGCCCAAGAATTCCCTTTTTTTTTTTTTTTTAGGGCCATGCAAACACAACGCAGCGCCGTGCAGTATCAGCAGGGTGGACCTCCTCGCTGCAAGGTCTCACCGATGCCAATGGGGTCGAAAAGCACCTCAGAGGCACTAAAGAAATCCGCTGGGGGTTGTTAAAGGCAGGGATATTTACCCCAGAGCCACCAGTTTTTGGAGGCTCTGCCTGTTTTTTTGAGGGGAAATCTCGCTTATCTTGCTCTTGCACGCTTCCCGGGAACGGGCTCTTGCTCGTCAGCGGTGTTTTACTCTTCTGCCGAATTTTTCCCCGGCCTGGCGGCGAGGGTGGTGTCTCCAGGCTGCCTTTTCTTTGCTCGGCTCTTCAGGATGCCGTAGGTGGCTTTGGGACCTTCATCCTCCTCCAGCTCCGCTCCTTGCGGAAGAGATGGCATTTAGGCAAAGCTTCTCCCTGCCCAAGACGAGGGCAGAAGTGGTTTTAGGGGAGAAAAAGGTCCAGGAACCTCTTCTCTTTTCCCTCAGGAAGAAATCCAAGGCCGCCTGCAGGCATTAAAGGAGGAGAGAGAAAAATACCTGGAAAGCAGAAAAATTGGAGTGAGGAAGAGCTCGTACCTGGTAGGTGCCCTCCAGCAGGAGCCTGGGGGTCGGTGGGTCTCTCCCCCCACCCTGGTATTGCCGGTGGCTCTCGAAGCTGGCTGGTGCGTGGTTGGCTTGCGGAGCGTTACATGGTTTTCTCTGGGCACTGGCCAAGCCCCACTGTTATCTGCTGGGGTTTCCCATCTGCTGGAGCCTGCAGCGGGGCGATAACGTCGCAGTGCCGCAGCGAGGGTGCTGGTGGGGCCGACAGCCCCCAGCCTGGCGTAGAGAGATGGGCTGGAAGGGGGTGTTTTCCCACTCCCCCCGCTAAACTCTACAAAACTCCCTCTTATAGAGCTCAGTTGAGGTTGCGTCTTCTGGGTCTGTTTCCAGGCCTCCTGAATAGTCCCTGCCGCAACCCCAATCCCCAGCGAGGCGGTTTGCTGTTAAATTCACCCTTGTATCATACACCCTTGTATGGATTTGATGGGTGGGCTGTTGGGTGGGTAAGGAATTGGTTGGATGGTCGCATCCGGAGGGGAGTGGTCAATGGCTCGATGTCTGGATGGAGACCAGTGACCAGTGGTGTCCCTCAGGGGTCCATACTGGGACCGGTGCTGTTTAATATCATCATCAATGACATAGACAGTGAGATTGAGTGCACCCTCAGCCAGTTTGCAGATGACACCAAACTGAGGGATGTGGTTGATACACCAGAGGGATGGGATGTCATCCAGATAGACCTGGACAGGCTGGAGAGCTGGGCCTATGTGAACCTCATGAGGTTCAACAAGGCCAAGGGCGAGGTCCTGCCCCTGGGTGGGGGCAACCCCTGGGATCCATCCAGGGATGAAGGGATGGGGAGCAGACCTGCCCACAGGGACTGGAGGATGAAAAGCTGGACGTGACCTGGCTATGGGCGCTGGCAGCCCAGAAGGCCCAACCCTCCCCTGGGCTGCATCCCCAGCAGCGTGGCCAGCACCCAGGGAGGGCATTCTGCCCCTCTGCTCCGCTCTGGGGAGACCTCCCCTGGAGCCCTGCGTCCAGCTCGGGAGCCCTCAGCACAAGGAGG